ATATATATATATATATATATATATATATATATATATATAAACCACTACTTACTACTTGTATTACTATTCCTACTTCGCAGTTTTTCACTTACCACGGGGCTTCAGGGTACGTATCCCCCGTGATAAACGAGGGACTACTGTACTCACATCATCATTCTCATGCTTGCAAATTTTTATTACATTTCCTTTTCTTACCTTTAAATTTAAGCCTTCATTGATGTGATGTTATTAAAATGATGTAATTTACAGCCATTATTTAAATATATCTTCTTTTATATTTGTGTTATTTTCCAGACTATATGTCGCTCTTTTTTTCATAGTTTGGCCAGTCCTGCCGTGTATAGTCCAAAGCGACTTGTTTACATTTTTTCTCCTCTTCATGACGCAATTTTTGACTGATGAGTTAAATGTTTATTCATACTGACATGAACCAAAATGTAAACATTACCATTTGCAGTCGTGAGATGGCTCTCTAGGCTTTTGATCGTGTCTATATGTTGTTCCTCTACCGCTACCCCCCCCCCCCCCCCCCCCCCCCCCCCCCCCCAAAAAAAAAACATTCACTTAGAGACAACTAAGAAAAAAAAAAACTATTCTGCAGATTACAAACTGCAGGTAATAAAATTTGCAGCCCAAAACGGTAATCGAGCACCAGAAAGAACGTTTGTAAACAGGTGGGGTCTGCGCACTCTGCCTGCGGGATTCAGCTCGGCAAAAGGGACGGCCGCTCAACGATGGAGGATTCCCCCTCGTGGGGGTCCTTCCCCCCCATGCCTGGCTGGCTTCCACTGGGCGCATTTCCTCTGCAGTGGTGCACCGCGACTGGCTCTTGGTCGGCTTGGAAGAGTCTGGGGACTGTAATATCTGTTGGCTTACTCCTTTTAATACAAGAAGACGGCTGCTTGACGAACTCATCATGAACTGTATTTATTAACCATCGTCTTCAGAAGCATCATAACATCAGCACCGTTCCCAGTCTCATCACACTACATATCACTGCGCCACCACCAAAACCCAGTCATGTATTAGTGAGCGGCACTATATACTACAGGGACGAAGGTGGCTCCGCGAGCTCTAAAGCATTACCTGCCCGCAACCCCCCCCCAGCTCTGGTGGTGGGAGGGACAGGGCCCCCTCTCCCCTGGCACGGCACCTATCATAAGGGGTCAGCAGCGATGCATAATAAATGTGACTTATACTCCCAAGCAACTTGTATGTTTTTTTCCTCTTCATGATGCGTTTTTTGACTGATGCAACCTATACTCCGAGCGACGTATAGCCCCAAAAATACGGTATATACAATATGATCTTTAAAATATTCCAAATTTCAAACTGGAGTTTAACTTATTAGCATTTTTGAAATAATTATTTATTCATATTACTTGTAATTTTACTTCCATTTGTGTTTTTAGGTTTTCAAAAAATGTTCTGTAATGAGGCAAACACAACTCTTACCTGAAGATGTCACCTAACTTTCTCATGAGTCAGCAGTTTCCATCGGCTTACATAGCACCTTGTCTTTCACCTTTTTGTTTTGATTCCTTTCTGGTTCATCCTCATTGTCCTCTAAGCTGCATTTTGAGTCAAAACATGGGATGTTTTCAGTGGAAAAACTACTAATTAACCACAATAAACACCAAATAATCAAACATACTGACATGAGTTTTCATTGTGAGAGGAGCTCAGAACAGCAAACATTGGAATTTTTGCCACTAATTTGAGGTCACAAAACCCAAATTTAAAAACAGTTTCTTTTGCTTTGAAAGTCACAGTTTAAAAAGAAAATAATCTAATACAACTTTAAATTTTTAAATTTTATCTTTTATGGTCTATTCATATTTTACATAACATAGACATTTTAGCTTGCTTTAAATATAAAAACAGGCTCTGACATACCAGTAGAGTTTAGTACATACAGTAAGATCCCGTCTTTATCACAAAATTTCACAAAAGAAAAATACGAAGTAAAACTACCATTTTAATAGTTTTAATTTGCTCCTCAGGTGGAGGATGCAGAGGCTCGCCGACTTTTCCAGCAGATTATCTCAGCTGTTGATTACTGTCACAGGCACATGGTGGTCCACAGAGATCTCAAACCTGAGAACGTCTTGCTTGATGCCAACAAGAACGCCAAGATTGCCGACTTTGGTATGATCCCAAAAGCACACTATAAAAAACAAAAGAGTATGCTTTGCCGAAGAAATGATTGTGAGGCGTTATGTGCAGAGTAGAATTAGAGAAAGAAGTGTTTGTAACAGGACTGATAATACCATGTAGTTAGACAATTTAATTAAAGCCAGATGGCAGCTTCTAGTTACAGAGTTGTAAATAAGAATAAACATGTCTCTGGAGATTGCCTCTCATTGGACATGGCAATATTTTTCCCAGCTAAAGATAAAATGTCTGACAATATGGCCATGAAAATAATTATTTTGAAGAAAACACACACACACAAGGGCCCTTGTTCACAGCAGGATACGAGGGGTGGAGAGATGTTCCTTAGCAACGGCCAGGTCTCATATCAAGTCTGGCAGGAAGTCTTGAGGCCCAGTGTCATCCGATAGTGAAGGAATCGACGGGTGTGTGATGGTGGGGGACAGCAGGAGAAGTGTTTTGGCTGACAGTGAAGAGACTCTGGTGAGCAGAGAGAAGAGAGGGAGTGCTTAGGGAGCAAGGATAAAAGATAAAGTGAAGGTCAGCAAATCGCAGAGTGTCTGATGTTTGGCACCAGCCCTGGCAGGCAAAGACATACTCATCCAATTAGATGAGCTTTGTGTTTAAAGCGCACTGTCTTGGCTGGCAAGGGAGGATAAAGATCTCAGCAGTGTCTACTGTGTATGTCTCTGCCCTTAACTGAATACTGCTTCTCTGGCACAGTTTAACCAGCTTGTATCAAAGAGTGAAACATGAGGATTCTTTGTTTAGTGTCTTTTACAGTCAGATTAGAGAGGGATGGTTGTTCATGTGTGTTTTCCTCGTGACCGACCAACAGGACTTTCAAACATGATGTCAGATGGAGAATTCCTTCGAACGAGCTGCGGTTCACCAAACTATGCAGCTCCAGAGGTCATCTCAGGAAGGTGCGTGTAATCTCATGTTTATGGTCAAGAGGAACAAATCTTTTAGTTATGAAACAATTAAATTTTGTATTGAATAATTTGGTGGACAGTAATGCATTGCTTCAAAGTTCTAACAAGGTTAATTAAGTCAGGTCCTCTGGACGGATTCTTTGTTGAAACGTTTCGTCGTGTAAATGTGTAATTGAAAAGAGATCCAGGAAGTGGCTACAAGAAGAAGTGATAGAGTGCCTGAAAAAGTCAGAGCAGGACAAGCTATTGACTGTATTCTGTACCACAGACCGTACCCAGGGGAGGCCACACCTTCTCTATATGGTTTACCTAAAATTCACAAACAAGGTGTACATTTAAGACCAATTGTTAGCATGATTAACTCTGTCACTTACAATGTTTTCAAATATCTGGCGGCTGTACTCGTCCTGTTGATTGGCAGCTCATAACATCACATACAGAACACCATGGACTTCTTCTTTATCTTGTGAACAGCTAGTTTTGGCTGTCACCAGCAAACTGGTTGATCCACTATCAGAAAATGCTATTTATAAGACTGACTTTGTTGCAGCTCCTCAGACTCAAGAAGTCCTTTGGATTAATGATGAAACGTTTCAATAAAAAGAATCAGTCCAGAGGACCTGACTCAACCATGTTAGATTTATCTACCTGGATTATTGAACATCAGGACATTGCTTCAATGACTGCTTTGTTTTTGGTTTAAATGCTAACTTATATACAATGTATAACCTTTAAATTGCTTCATCCACTGTTAGATGCTATTTTTATGCTAGGATTTTTCATGGGTTTGTATTAAAATGCACAATGACCAAACAAAAAATATTTCTCTGAAAGTAGCCAGGTAAAAAGACAAATATAAAGGAGGGAAAAGGGAGCTATTTGTTAGATCAATAAATAATATAAAGCAACATTTTGAAAGATCTTTAAATAACCTGCAGAAGAGAACAAGTTGTCAGTTTTGAGTGAAGGACAATAACATTACTGAGTGACATCTTTCAATGTCTCCTCTAAAATAAATAGTTACTAATCTGAAAAAAAATAAATAAATCAAGATTTAGTTAAATCACAAAAATTCAAATATTTTTTTAAAAGTAGCAAAGCTTGATTGTTTTCATATTTATACTTTTGTTGCAGCCGTATAATCATAGTAAAAATATCAACATTCTGCTTTTATGCAGAAGAATAATGGCTAGACGTTGTTCAGTCATGCTCTTTTCCTGTCAAACGTTCTCATTTTTCTTCCAGGCTGTACGCAGGCCCAGAGGTGGACATCTGGAGCAGTGGGGTGATTCTGTACGCCCTGCTGTGTGGCACTCTGCCCTTTGATGACGAGCATGTTCCCACGCTGTTTAAGAAGATCAGAGGAGGGGTTTTCTACATCCCAGAGTACCTGAACCACTCTGTGGCCACGTTGTTAATGCTCATGCTGCAGGTGGATCCACTTAAAAGAGCCACTATCAAAGACATCAGGTACCAGCTGAGTCAGGAGATTCCTTTTATCAGCTGTGTTTAACATCTTTTAGTGTTGTAGTCCCTAGATCTTCCGTATATTCATGTCCTGACTGGTCAGAGCCGTGGCAAAAAAAAACTTACCTGTTGTAAGCACTGGTAGTATCAATGATTACTGAAATAATTATCCACATTTTACCTCACTGTTAATTGTTTTCCTTTAAAAAAGGTCCTTCTACTGAACGCTTTTTCTCCTTTTAATCTGAAGCAATCACTTTTTCTATGCTGCTTATGTTTTTGGCTTGTTACTGTAGAATAATTTGTCTTTCATATTTGGCTTTGACAAACACATTTTTGGTGTTATTATGGCTAGCAATCCAAAAGGTTAAAAGTAGGGATGCAGGGTATTGGATTTTTGGCCAGTATCCGATATGCTAATATGTTAAAACTGATTTGGCTGATAACCGATACCAATACTGATATTTTTTCCCTAGACCTACTTACAGAGACTACACAACTTTCTCTGCTGTGGAATTAAAATACTACATTATTCTGCATGGTCTTTGTCAGTTTAGCCTGCTACCAAATGCAGATGCCAAAAAGGGGCTGAAAATGATGTAACACTTCAACTTGGATTATGTTTATCAAATTTATTCATGACATTTTCTCTCTGACACAATGACAACACTTGAACAGTGCAAATTTGTAAATTTTCACAAATCTAAACTCAACCTATTCACAAGTGACAAGTGAATAGCACATAAGTGCATTAATAGATATACTTGACAGTTTCTTAAATTAAAAATTAACTTAAAACAGAAGCCTTTTATATCAGTGACTTATTTTGATGGAATGGCTGATGTCCGACATTTAACTTTATCGCTAATATCGGCTGATACTGATACTATGCTGATGATAATATCGTATATCCCAAGTAAAAATTTCAGTTTTATTCCCTATGTAACTGTACAGCATTTTGTTTATCCATTCTACTGATTTTTTTTTAAATATAAATCTGTCAGGGAATTTTTGGTCTAAGGTTATGGATGTTTTTATTACTATGACTGAGAATTATCCTGATGCATGCTCAATAATCCAGGTAGAAAAATCCAAAAAAGTTCAATCTGGTCCTCTGGACATTCAAAAAAACAAAACAAAGCAAAAAAATATAGAAACGTTTCGTCTCTCATCCAAGAGACTTCCTCAGTCTGAGGTGCTGTTTTCAGCTCAGTCTCTTAAA